CGACCCCGAGTACTGGCCGAGTACCACGACTCACCCACCGCCGGCCACTATGGCGTCGAAAGAACATACTATCGGATCAAGCGAAGATACTATTGGACGGGTATGCGACGATATATTACCGACTACCTGAAGGGATGTATCGACTGCCAACGCTACAAAGCCCATGCCACCGGTACAACCCTTGCGACGACGAGGCCGCCCCAGAAAGATCCAGCAGGACCAATAGGCGGGGACGCACCCTATGGTCCTGAGGGGGAGACTGTAGCGCGATCAGTACCCCTAGCGCCCTCTGTCACGCCCACGCACCACCACTACCCTGCCGCAGCACCCCGGTACTCGCTCGCTCCCTTACCAGAGGGCGGTGCGCCCTTTCACTCCCACGCGACGCATTTCTAGCCGCCTTTACATAGGACCCGAGCGGCCAGATTCGGCAAGTTTTTCCATCTGCGAACTTCACAGCTCATTTGCGTATCACCTTGCATCCGAGGGGTCTTGGAGGTCCAAATCGAGTAGTAAGTCGGCTTGAGTATCAGCGGCGTATCCGAGGGGTCCCGCAGGTCCGGCCGTGGAAAAACGCTCCGGGTGTTCGCGAGTGTACGAGTTATCAGGACTGTTCGTCCGCGGAGTGACCATTTTTAAGGACTCGTGTAACCAGTCTATGTCTATGCAGTGTATATACTATGTTTTGTTGAATAAAAGTTTTTACGGAATAAACCACGTGTTATAAAAAGTGGCGCCCAACTTAGTGGCACGAAGAAGGCGTCTGTTATAATTTCATTTTGGTGCTTTTGTACAAATGGTTGGAATTTGAGATTTTCAAAGAAATGAAGCTGAAAATAATTTCTGGCAAGCCGAAATGAATAAAAAATCTCATTGAGTAATTTTCGAAAGTGTTAGGAACAAAGTCAAAAATTTAATATTGTAAAATTGAGCTTTTGCCATTCCTGCTTAAAAATCCACAAAAAAATCTGAGACATACGAGGTAAGCGCCAAATATTCTCGGCCTAACAAAGAAAGAGACCTGATGGAAAAAAATTAAATATTTATATTTCAACATAATCTCTGTTAACTTCAATACATTGAAAACTACGTTCAACTAACAGCTCTATGCGTTTAAAAAAATTGTTTGAATCTTTATCACTAAAATGATGTAGTACTGCCGTTTGCACCTCTTTATCCGTCCAAAACGTTTTCCCTGCAAGTCGTTTTTTATCTTAGAGAACAGTTAATAATCGTTCGAAGCTAAGTCAGTACTCTAGGGTGGATGATCAAGTTACTCGAAGTCACAGGCCCCTATAGCAGCTTGAGAAAGACATGCGGTATGAACGAGCGCATTTTCATGAAGCAATCGAACGCCTCTTGTTAATTTTCTCGGCCTTTTTTCCCAAATACGGTCTCCTAATTTATGCAGTAAGTAAGCATAATATGTAGCGTTGACAGTGGTATTTCATCCTTTAAAATTAATCAACAACATGCCTTTACAGTCCCAAAAAATTGTGGCCATGATTTTTTTGGAAGATTGGTTCGTCTTCAAGGGTTTCTTACCCCATACGAAATAACTGTGATCATTTTTTTTAGTAAAATGTGAAGGACAAGCTTCAGCAAACACAAAAACCATCCTGTCCTTAATACCCTTTAGAGCAATTCCATCTTTTGATAAGAATTTTATTGCCGTTCGATTTTCAATTTTAAACAGGCATGATGAGTCCATAATTTTTCAAATGTTACTCCTCAAATGTATCAAAACTAATGGGCAGTGGGGCTTGAAATTTTACACACATACTGCGGGGACCCTCTAGTCTTTTATGAGTTGTACAAATTTCCCGACGAGCAATCGCAAATATATCAGGCCGAGAATATTTGGCGCTTACCTCGTATATTTTAACGAACTGTTTCGAAAATCATTGATTGTTGATGACCTTAAACCAAGAACCTGGAAATATTCGGTTCCAAAATGTAATTCCAAAATATGCCAAAAATGTCCATATTTCATTTTGGCTACTCTGAAAAAATGGTTGGAATTTTTGAAGAAATGAAGCCGAAAATTACATCAAGGCGAAATCAAGAACAACTTTGGGTAATTTTTCAAGTGTTGTAAAAGGATAAAAAATGACATTGAAAAGTTGAGCTTTTGACACTCTTGGGAAATATTCGGTTTCAAAAGGAGATTTTCTAAATAAGCCAAAAATGGCTATTATATGTATTTCAATTTAGTGCTTCTGGACAAATGGTCGGAATTTTAGATTTTTAAAGAAAAAAAAGCCCAAAATAACTTCTGCCAAGCCGAAATGAACAAAAATCTCATTGAGTAATTTTCGAAAATCCTCCGAATAAAGTCAAACATTTCATATAGAAAAATTGAGCTTTTAGCACTAATAACTAAATATCTAAAAAAAAAACTGAGACATAGATTTCGAGGAGTTGTTTCGAAAATCATAGATTGTTGATGATCCTAAACCAAAAATTTGGAAATATTCGGCTCCAAAGTGCAATTTTCAAAATATGTCAAAAATGTCCATATTTCATTTTGATGATTTTGAAAAAATGGTTGAAATTTTCAAAGAAATGAAGCCGAAAATAACTACAATCCAGACGAAATCAACAAAAAAACTTCTTTGGGTAATATTTCAAAGCGTTCGAAAAGGTTAAAAAATGTAATATTGAAAAATTGAACTTTTGACATTCTTGTTCAAAAATTCACAAAAAAATCTGAGATACAGATTTCGACAAACAGTTGACAATCCCAAACCAAGATTTGGGTATTCGGTTTCAAAAGGAAATTTTCAAAATAAGCCAAAAATGGCTATACATATGTATTTCATTTTGGTGCTTCTGGACAAATGGTTGGAATTTTAGATTTTCAAAGAAATGAAGCTGAAAATAATTTCTGCGAAAAAAATCTCTTTGAGTAATGGGAAATACTCGATTTTAAAAGAAAATTTTCAAAATAAGCCAAAAATGTCCATATTTCATTTTGGGGATTCTGAAAAAAATGATTCAAATTTTTAAAGAAATGAAGCCGAAAATAACCACATCTAATCGAAATTAAAAAAACAACTTCTTTATGTAATTTTTCAAAGTGTTCGAAAAAGATAAAAAATGTAATATTGAAAAATTGAGCTCTTGACACTCTTGCTCAAAAATCCACAAAAATTCTGAAATATAGATTTCGGCAAACTGTTGATAATCTCAAATCAAGATTTGGGAAATATTCGGTTCCACAAGGAAATTTTCAAAATATGTCAAAAATGGCTATATATATTTCATTTTGGTGCTTCTGGACAAATGGTTGTAATTTTAGATTGTCAAAGAAATGAAGCCGAAATAACTTCTGCAAAGCCGAAATCAACTAAACATCTCTTTCAGTAATTTTCGAAAGTGCTCAGAAAATGAGCTTTTGGCACTAATAACCTAAAAATCCACAAAAAAATCTGGAACATAGATTTCGACGAGCTGTTTCGAAAATCATAGATTGTTGATGATCCCAATCCAAAAATTCGGAAATATTCGGTTCCAAAATGCAATTTTCAAAATATGCCAAAAATGTCCATATTTCATTTTGGCGATTCTGAAAAAATGGTTGAAATTTTCAAAGAAATGAAGCCGAAAATAACTACATCAAGTCGGAATCAACAAAAAAACTTGTTTGAATAATTTTGCAGTGTTCGAAAACGATAAAAAATGTTATTGAAAAATTGTGCTTTTAACTAACACTCTTGCTCCAAAAACCAAAACAATTCTGAGATATAGATTTTGACAAATTGTTGATAATCGCAAACCAGATTTGGGAAATATTAGGTTTCAAAAGGAAATTTTCAAAATATGCCAAAAATGACTATATTTCATTTTGGTATTTCCGGACAAAATGGTTGGAATTTTAGATTTTCAAAGAAATGAAGCCGGAAATAACTTGTGCCAAGAACTGAAATGAATAAAAAATCCCTTTGAGCTATTTTCGAAAATGCTCGGAACAAAGTCAAAAGTTTCATATTGAAAAATTGAGCTTTTGGCACCAATAACCTAAAAATCCACAAACAAATCTCAGACATAGGTTTCGACGAGCTGTTTCGAAAATCATACATTGTTGATGATCCCAATCCAAAAATTCGGAAATATTCGGTTCCAAAATGCAATTTTCAAATAATTCCAAAAATCTCCACATTCCATTTTGACGGTTCTGAAAAGATTGTTGGTATTTTCGAAGATACGAAATTTTGGAAATAATTTTGTCCAACTGTGGATGTAGCAAAATTACACGGATAAAATTTCATAGAATGCAAGATGGATAATCTAGAAGCTATGGTTTGGTATGACGTCATTGTTGTTTTTTATTTGAGCCATACAATTAACAAAAACTTAAAAAATACTTGATAAGAATATAACCTTATCGTCACCACCCTGATTTGTTTGTTATTCAAAAAACTGTCTACAAACTACCGTAAAACTTAAAAACCTAAGTAACCTCAACTGTGTCATTAAAATTCGCCTGCATGGTGTAATGTATATTATTAATCAAATCGTATGACACTAGCGTTTGAATATGTGTTATTTCATGTACATCGTCAGTGGTGAGCAGTAAAACATTTATTTTGGTATCAAGAAGTTAAATTTAACTCCATACACTCTTTCAATGTTCTTTTTAATAGTTTCAAAGAAATAAATCTTTCATGTTCTAAACAATGCGCTGCATCATACCATAAAAATACCAATTTCACAGTACTTCCCGAACTTTTGCGATTTCCCACCCGTTGACATTAATCTCACGTACTCGCGCTTCCATTACCTGTCATGCTCATGACATAACACCAAACAACTGGCAGTGATCCTACAAATTGATCACAACTTTAAAAATACTCCAGCATTACCCAACCTTCCCACAAAAACAAAATTTTACCAGCGTTTTCTACCAAACCGCGCGGTGCCACTCTGTATTCGGTTGCGCAACGCGTACGTGATTCGCCAGCGACATTTTTGCTCGTCGCTTTTTTAAAATTCCTTACCTTTCCCACTGTTGCATGCCACTTGGCTCGAGGAGTCGTCGTGGTCCTCGTCGTGGTCTCTAAGGCATTGCGACGAGGTGTCCGAGGTGTCGTCCATGTAGGTGATCGCCAGTTCGGCGAAGGGCACGCTCAGGGAGGAACATTCGCTGTGGTTTGGAGTATTGAGGTGGCAGAACCACTCGGAGAGGCTCTCGCCTTCTCCATGGATGGGAGAAGGAGGGGGCTTGATCATGTTGCGCATTTCCAGGAAGGGTGTCTGGAGGCAGCCCAGCAATTTCCTGCTGGAGAAGAAAGTAATTAGTGTTGTTACTACTCTTAAGTGGTAATTATGGGTCATTTACGGTCATAAATCGGTGCTTGTGATTTTTAAGTTTGTTATATGTGCAAACATGTTTTGTCTTTGTATTGACTTTCTTCCATCGGAATTAACATTACGGCGGCGAAGAATACTAAAGACTTAAGTCACGTACACAAGACGCTAAATATTTAATTAGGTTGAGCACACTGTGAATTTTTTCTGTAATGGATGCACTCGAACAGGGTTTCACAGTTGTGTTGATGTCTTTTTATTTTTTAGTAACGTCTTGTTTTCAGGCTTAAAGTAGTAAGTCACAGTTATTCCCGAAATCTCAAGCTATTACTTGCAATTTCTCCGGTATAATACACCAAAATTTAACACGACGTTTTACTACTCTTGGGTGCTTTCTCGAGCACTTCGTCGATTTTTTACGATTAGAATTTATATCTCAGGAAGAACAAATTCTCGTTCGTTATCATCATTAAAATACTCAAAATTTAACTTGTTTTGATCGGCTATCAATATTATCAATGCCACCACTAAGTCTGTGTTGAAAGATCCATCAACATCGCAATTTATCTCGAATATAAAGTTACGACGTTGAAGAATGATTTTAATCAATTGAACGTGTTCGAGCTAATTTATTTTTAAAATTTGTTATTGATTTTCCATTTGTCTTTGCAGATAAAAGAAAAACTTTATCATTGTTTTTTTTTTTAATAAAAATTTGCCGCTTCCTTCTTTCACCTAACAATTTATTACGAAAAGTAAAAATGCAAGAAATGAGAATATTGTGTGACTAAATTGTATTTATTCAAGCATTCCTAAAAGAAATATTCAAAATAGTCCCATTTTGCAAGCATAATTCTCACACTTAAAGGTTATGATTAACATTTGTGACAGGCGACGAGTGGTCATCAATCACAACGAGGCGGCAAAAATCACGAAATTTAAAATTAACTCTCTGAGATGGAAGGTTGGAATTTTGCGTGAAAATTTTCAGTTAGTTTACTTTGATGGGGATGTATATAATTGAACATGGTTCGGACTTTTTTATACAGGGTGATTAAATTTTGATTTTTTTTTTCATGTGTTTTAAACAAGACACCTGATTATGTACCTAATAATTTTTTGAAATTATCACGAAGTTAGTTTTTTTTTTGGCAACACAATCAGAGACCTTGAAGAAATGAAAAATCCAGAAGTTGATGAATTGAAGAAACGAAAAGGTGAAAAATTCGAAAGTTGAAAAATTACAAAATTGAAAGATCGGAAAATTGAACTGACAAGGTTAAAATTGACAATTCGAAAATCGAAAAAGTGAGAAATCAAAAAAATTGAAGAAATGAAGAATCGAGAAATTGAAGAAACTGTAGCTGGAAAATTTTAAAAGTAAAGTCCCAAAAAATGGGAAATCGCCAAATTGGAAAAATGAAGAATTGACAAATCGAAAAAATAAATAAACAAAAAAGTGAAACATTAAAAAATTGGAAAACTGTAAAATTGAAAAGTTCACGAATTTAAGAAAAGGAAAATTGAATAAGCGAACAAATTAAAAACCGAAAATTGAAAATGGGGAAAAAACGAAAAATCGGAAATATTGAAAAAATGAAAAATTGCAAATTGAAAAATGAAAAAAATTGAAGAGACGAAAAATGAAAAAAATTAGAAGTGAAATCTCGAAAAATTTTAAATCAACATGAAGAATCGAAAAATTGCAAAAAAATGAAAATTCAAATTGGAAATAGACAAAACGAAGAAAACCTAAAAAATTGGAAAACTGAAGAAACGAAAAATGGAAAAATTTTAAAGTAAAAATTCAAAAGTTGAAAATCGGAAAAAGTAAAAATACGAAAAATCAAGGAAATGAAAAACTGGAAAATCAAAAAAGTGAGAAATTAAAAAAAAATGAAAATCGAGAAGTTGAGGAAATGAAGAATTGAAAAATTGAAGAAACCGAAGAAAATTTTAAAAGTGAAGTCTTGAAGAATGGGAAATCGACAAATTGGAAAAATGAAAAAACGAAAAAATGAAAAATTTAAAAGTAAAGTCGAAAACATGCAAAATTGTAAAATTAAAAAGCGAAATTTCGAAAAACTGTAAATCGACAAAAGAAAGAAAACTCGAAAAATTCAAAAGTGGAAAATCGTAAAATTGTACATAGAAAAACTGTAAATTGAAACATCTGAAAAATTGAAGAGACGAAAATAGACAAATTTAGAAGTGAAAATTCGAAAAATTTTAAACTAATATTAAGAAACGAAAAATTGGAAAAATATTAAAAGTGTAACTTGCAAAATTGGAAATCGGCAAAAGAAAAACTAAAAAATCGGAACTCTGAAGAGACGAAAAATCGAAACGAAAAGCTGAAAAATTCGAAAGCTGAAAATCAGAAAATTGAACATTAAAATTGAGAAACTCAAAAACCGAAAAAATGAAAAACGCAAAAATTGAAAATTCGAAAAATCAAAGAAACGAAAAACTGGAAAATCGAAAAAGTGAAAAATCAAACAAATTGAAGAAACGAAAATGGAAAAATCTACGTGAAATCTCGAAAAATTGGAAATTGGAAACCGACAAGTTGAAGAAATGAAGAACTGAAAAATCGAAAATTGAAAAACCGAAGACGGAAAATTTAAAAGTGAAGTGTCGAAAAATGTGAAATCGACAAATTGGAAAAATGAAGAATTGATAAATAAAATAAATAAATAAAACGATGAAAACTGTAAAACTGTAAAATCGAAAAATTGAACAAGCGAAAAAGCAAAAACCGAAAAAGTGAAAAAATGAAAAACGGAAAATTAAAAATAGGAAAAACTCGAAAAATGGAACAATTTTAAAATGAAATTTCGAAAAATTGTAAATCGAAAAATCAGAAAAATTGAAGAGGCGAAAAATGGAAAAATTTAAAAGTGAAATCTCAAAAAATTTTAAATCAAGATGAAACGAAAAATTGGAAAAATATTAAATGTGAAAAATCAAAAAATTGGAAATTGGCAAAAGGAAGAAAAACTAAAAAATCGCAAAATTGAAATCTCGAAAAACTGGAGATCAACAAATTGAAGAAACGAAACAACAGTAAAAACTCAAAAAATTCGAAATCGACAAAAGAAAAAATAACTTAGAAATTATAGAACTGAAGAAACATACAATCGTAAAATCAAACAAATTAAGAAATGAAAAATGGAAAAATTTGAAAGTGAAAATTTAAAAATTGCAAATCGATAAATTGAAGAAACGAAAAAGTGAAAAAATTCGAAACTGAAGAAATCAAAAGTGAAAAACTTAAGAAGCGGAAAGTGGAAATATATAAAAATTAAATTTCCAAAAACTGATAATCGGAAAAATGTAAATCGAAAAAGTCCATATCGAAAAATTCCAAAAATTGAAGGGACGAAAAAAAGTGAGAGCTCATAGAAATTGAAATCTACAAACTGAAAAATGAAAAATTAAATAATTGGAAGATTCTAAAACCAAAAAATTTAAAGTGAAATCCCGAAAAGGTTGAAATCAATAAATTGAAGAAACGAAAAACTGGAAAAAAAATAAAAGTGAACACTCAATAAATTGGAAATTGATAAAAGAAGGAAAAACTAAAAAATCGGAAAACTGAAGAAACGGAAAATGAAAACATTTTAAAGTGAAAACTCGAAGAAGTGGAAATCTACAAATTGAAGTAACGAAAAATTGAATAATCAAAAAATTGTAAAACGAAAAAATTAATAAACGAAAAATAGAAAAATTTCAAAGTGAAAACTCAAAAAATTGCAAATCTATAAATTGAAGACACAAAAAAGTGAAAAAATTTAATACTTAAAAAATCAAAAATTGAAAAGCGAAAAATCGGAAAATTGAAAAATCAGAAAACTGGAGGAAAAATGGAAAAATTTTAAAGTGAAAATTTGTAGAAATGGAAATTTACAAATTGAAGAAATGAAAAATTAAATAATTGAAAAATTGTAAAATCAAAAATTGAAGGAGTGAGAAATAAAAAATTTAAATGTGGAATCTCAAAAAAGTTAAATCAACAAATTGAAAAAACGAAAAATCGCAAAAAATTTAAAAGTGAAAACTCAAAAAATTGGAAATCGAAAAAAGAAAAAAGATTACGGAAATATCGTGAAATTGAAGAAATAGAAAATTGTAAAATCGAAAAATTTAAGAAACGGAAAATGGAAAACTTTTAAATTCAAATTCGAAAAAGTGGAAATCCACAAATTGAAGGCACGAAAAATTAAATAATCGAAAAATTGTAAAATTTAAAAATTGAAGAAACGAAAAATGAAAAAATTTAAAAGTGAAAACACAGAAAATTGCAAATCGACACATTGAGGAAACGAAGAATTGAAAAATCGAAAATTTGACGAAAATAGAAAAATCTAAGTGAAATCTCGAAAAATTGGAACCGACAAATTGGAAAAATGAAGAATTTATAAATAAAATAAATAAATAAAACGATGAAAAATTGTAAAACTGTAAAATCGAAAAGTTGACAAATTTAAGAAAAGGAAAATTGAACAAGCGAAAAAGTAAAAACTGAAAAAGTGAAAAAATGCAAAACGGAAAATTAAAAATAGGAAAAAATCGAAAGATGGAAAAATTTTAAAATGAAATTTCGCAAAATTGGCAATCGACAAGAGAAAGAAAAACTGAAAAATCATAAAATTGAAGAAACAGAAAATGGAAAAATTTTTAAGTGAAAACTGGAAAAAATGGAAATCGACGAATTGAAGAAATGAAAGATGGAAAATTTAAAAGTGAAAACTCAAAAAATCGAAAAATTGAAAAAACTGAGAAACTAGTAAATTGAAGAACCAAAAGCGGAAAATTTGGAATATTGCAAATCCATAAATTGAAGAAACGGAAAATAAAACATTTAAAAGTTGAAAAATAAAAAACGAAAAATGGTAAAATCGAAAAATTGTAAACTGAAAGACTGAAGAAACAAAAAATGAAAACATTTAAGTGTGATTTTGAAAAACGAAAAATTGGAAAATTGAAGAAACGGAAAATGCAACATTGAAAGCTTGAAAATCCGAAAAATTGCAAATCGACAAATAGAAGAAATGAAAAATTAAAATTTGGGAGACTGAAAAATTGAAATAAAGAAATACGAAGATCTGAAAAAACGAAAAACAATAAAATCGAAAAATTAGAAAATCTTAAACTGAAAAATCGAAACATATTGAAGAAACGAAAGTGACAAATTCAAAAACTGAAAAATTCTAAAATCGAAAAAAGGAGAAAATTGAAAATACGAAAAATAAAAAATTGAGAAATTGAAAATTCGGCAAACTGAAGAAACGAAAGATTGGAAAACCGAAAAATTGAAGAAACAAAAAATGGAAACATTTAAGAGAAATTTCGAAAAATTGGAGAATCAAAAACTGGAACGATAAATTTAATAATCGGACAAAAAACATTCAAAAGTTGAAAAACAGAAAAATTGCAAATGACAAATTGAAGAAATGGAAAATTAAAAAACGGTAAAATCGAAAAATCTAAAAACTGAAGAATCGAAAAATTGCAATGACTAACTATTGCTTTATAGGAGTATCATCTATATCTTTAACCTTATCTCGGAAAGCGATGGGAAGAAGTAAAATAATTAGTTTTCCATATCTGCTCTTATTATGAACACCCTGTGTAAACATTTTGCATTATGCTGTATGCCATTATTTGAAAAGTAAAGAATACAATAAATAGGCAAAAATTTTGTTATTGTTATTGTGAAAGCTTGGGCACTCACTTTGAGCACACGTGATCATTCCATCTGTTCGGTAAACGGACTATAGTTCGATTATTAGACATACAGTGTGTCCGTAAAGTTGGAAAAAAATTCACTAAAAAAAATTTAGACATTATCTTCAACAAAACGATTCGAACAAGTTACATTTGGGTACATTTGATCAGCATCTCTGAATTTTATATCATAAAATCTTTAATTTTTTCGGGTGTATTTTAGAAAAAAAATTGTGAAAACTTGGTGTACACTTGACCAAGAGATTTAATTTTTTTAAACTTTATTTTTGATGCATTTTATAAAAGTGTCAGGAAATCATCGGTTGCATAACAAAATATCAACATTTATTACACTAATTAAAAAAAAAACAAACGTCAATTTATTTGCCATTATATGTAAAACACGCAACGTCTCGGAACAATATTTTAAACTACATTCTCAGATATCTGAGATTTTAAATTTATATGAAATTAGTACAAAATCACAAAAAAAAACCATAAAAACCCGAACCAACTCCTTTTAAACGAGCGTCTCAAACATCCAGGGTTCAGTTCACACGACATTAATTCAATCCGAATTTAGTTCAAAAAACCGAATCGCAGCACCTTCACCAGCGCTAGTTTTTTAACTACCGAATTCCCATCCGCGTTTAATGGCGTGGTGCTACACTAATTACCTATTTACTTTACCCGAAACACACACGCTTTACCCATATAATTATGTAGCGTTATCGTTCCCCGCTAATAATCGGTTCTAAGTGACATTTCTTACTCATTTGGCAAACATGCGATCTAAAAAAAGTGGATCAATAGGCGACCTTGCGCTCGGACCACTTTTCTCACCCCACCAATAAACCAAAACCAAAAAATAATTACTCGTATTTGCGGCTGTTCTTCCTGTAGGTGGCCTTGGCGTACGAACACACTGAACACTTCTTGCATGTGGCGAGATGCTGGAGAGCTTTCTGGTACTGCGACGCCAGCGGCGCATTGTGGCGTTCCACGAGCTGTCAAAAAGATAGAGATCGTATTAAAACACCATTTACTGATTGCTTTTGTTGCAGTGATAATTATACGTTTTCTATTTATACGACAATCTAGACTCTGCCATTATTCACTCGCTGGCAAGGTCATTATGAATTGGAAATGAGTGTAGGTGGACGCGAAACAAGCGAAACAAGGTGAAAGACGTAATAAAACATGGGAAAAAAAATTCACGCTGGCACACTTTTCCACATTTTTGACGAGGAAAGCGCTATGATGCATCAGATTTAATTTTAGACGGACGCGGGGATTTCGTTGGAAGTTTCTCGTTTCGGCGGATGTACAAATAAACGAAGGAGTGATTCAGGAGACTTTAAAGAAATTGATGTTTATGCGACGAAGATGCGGTGATGAGGAGGGTACGTGTGAAGTTGCGTTTTCGATAATAAAAATGAGTAATTTGGTTAAATGGGTCGCAGCTTTTAGAAACGTTTCCAGGTGGGTGAATCTCGGAGAGTATTTGAGCAAAGAAATAACGGCCTATTTACTTAATGTATGTAGGCGACGAATCGATTCGGGTTTCAGGGCTCTTCATGTTTAAAAGAGCACGAAAATATCAAATTGGAAAAGCATACAAAGTTCGACGCGGCTTTTGTGAGTGCGTAACGATAAATTAAAATTTCAAAGTTGTAATTTCGGGCTGCAAACTCAGTTACGACCACTAGCAAAAAAGGTTTCAGGATGAATTATTTAATAGCAAGATTTTCTCTTTCCATTTCCGCAACTTGAATTAAACAATTGTCCACCAGAAAATATTAATCTCCGACGCTTATAGATTCAGTCGAAACTGCAACCAATACTGCCCCATAAATACAGGGATAATTAAATTAATTTATTTCAAGGATATTTTATTTAAGATTTACAACGGCTTAAAAATCCTTGAATTTAAAAATTCGTTATCCCATTAATTACACTTTACAAGGTTTTAATGTTGCATCCTAAATCTTAACCTGTATTTAGAAAAAAAATTATCCACGAGTGGTATTTTGGCCGTATATCATATTAATTGTCGTTTTTTTAATACCTACTTAATTTTTTCTCAGTGTATTTTTGGTTAAAAAAAATGCCCAGCTATCACGACGGAATAGAATTTAATTCTAAAAATTTTTCGAAATTTATTTCCATAAAACTTTCTTCGCCTCTGAAGAGCAAAATTATAAAAAAAAAAAATACAATTTGCGCAAATGGCAAGGTCCGCACAAGTGCGGACAATATGAATTCTATTTAAAGCAAATAACTAAAGGGAAAAAAAGCTTCTAGAAAAATCGCACAATAGATTTGGAGCATAGGAAAATCGATAAATTGAGAAAGCAAAAATTAAAAAAAAATTGAAAAATTTGAACCAATAACTGAAAAATCGAGAAATTGAAAAGTCGAAATATCCAAAAATTGAAAGATTGATAAACCGAAAGGTCGAAAATCGGAATAGTATAAAATCGAAAAATTGAAAATTGGAGAATTTTAACTAAAAAAAAAAAAATGAAAAATCGAAAAATCGGGAAATTGAACAATCGAAAAATTGAATAACCAAAAAATAGAAATCCGAGAAATTGAAAAACTGAAAAATCGAAGAAAAATTAAACCGAAAAATTGCAAGATAGAGAAATCGAAAGCTCTAGACGTCGAAAATATTAAAAAATAAAAAATTTGAAAATCAAAAAGTCGGGAAATGGAGAAATGCAAAAGTCAAAAAATCAAAAAGATGAAAAATCGATTAATCGAGAAATGGAAAATTTAGAAACGCCAAAAATCGAAATATTAAAAAATCGTACAAGAAAAATTTCGGAAAATTCAGAGAAATCTTAAAATAAATTGTCGAGAAACTGAAAAGGTTTAAGAATCGAAATGTTAAACATTCCCAAAACTGAAATATGGAAAAATCGATAAATCGAAAAATTGAAAAATGGTAGAAAAATTAAAGAATCGAAAAACTGAAAGATCCAGAAATCAAAAAGTCAAAAAAATCGAGAAATTGAAAAATTACAAAACTAAAATCTACAAAAATATTAAAATCGAAAAACATAGAGATCGGTAAATCGAATCATCAAAAGACCGAGGAATCGAAAACTCAAGAAGTGTAAAAACCCACAAATCGAAAATTAAAAAAAAATCGAAAAATCGGAAAATTGAACCATCGAAAAAAAATCTCGATAAAATCAGAAAATCGAAAAATCGAGATGTTTAAGCAAAACGAAAAGTCGGGAAATAAAGAAATGGGAAAGTAAAAAAAAGATGAAAAATCGGAAAATTGAGAGCAATCTTAAAATAAAAAGTCTAGAAATCGAAAATTTAAAAAAATCAACAAACTGAAAAATCGAAAAAGTCAAAATCAAGAAATCGAAATGTTAAAAAAATCCCAAAACTAATACATATCGAAAAATCGATAAATTGAAAAACCGAAAAATCCAAAAACTGAAAGACCTAGAAATCGAAAAGTCAAAAAATCGAAAAACCTAGAAATCGGTAAATCAAATCATCAAAAGACCGAGGAATCGAAAACTCGAGAAGTCTAAAAACCCAAAATTCGAAAAATAAAAAGAAATCGAAAAATCGGAAAATTGAACAATCGAAAAAAAATCTCGATAAAATCAGAAAATCGAAAAATCCATTTGTTTAAGCAAAACGAAAAGTCGGGAAATCGAAAATTTAATAAAATCAACAAACTGAAAAATCGAAAAATTGAAAAGGTCAAAATCAAAAAATCGAAATGTTAAAAAAATCCCAAAACTAATATGGAAAAATCGATAAATTGAAAAACCGAAAAATCGAAGAAAAATTAAAGAATCCAAAAACTGAAAGATCCAGAAATCGAAAAGTCAAAAAATCGAGAAATTGAAAAATTCCAAAATTAAAATCTAGAAAAATATTAAAATCGAAAAAATTGGAAAGTCGAAAAACCTAGAAATCGGTAAATCGAATCATCAAAAGACCGAGAAATCGAAAACTCCAGAAGTCTAAAAATTCAAAAATCGAAAAATAAAATCGAAAAAAGGAACATTGAACAATCGAAAAAAAAATCTCGATAAAATTAGAAAACGAAAAGTGAATAATCAAAAAATTGAAAATCAAAAACCTGAAAGATCGAAAAATAGAAAATCTGAAAATCGAAAAATCGAGATGTTTAAGCAAAACGAAAAGTCGGGAAATAAAGAAATGGGAAAGTCAAATAAAATATGAAAAATCGTAAAATTGAGAGAAATCTTAAAAAGGTCAAAATCAAGAAATCGAAATGTTAAAAAAATCCCAAAACTAATATGGAAAAATCGATAAATTGAAAAACCGAAAAATCGAAGAAAAATTAAAGAATCCAAGAACTGAAAGATCCAGAAATCGAAAAGTTAAAAAATCGAGAAATCGGTAAATAGAAACATCAAACGACCGAGCAATCGAAAACTCGAAAAGTCTAAAAACCAAAAAATCGAAATAGCATAAAATCGAAAAATATAAAATAAAAAAAATCGGTATGTCGAAAAATAAAAAAATTGAACAACCGAAAAATCGAAATCTCGATAATTAAGAAAACGAAAAATTGAATAATCGAGAAGGTAAAAATCGAGAAATTGAAAAGCTGAAAAATCCAAGAATTCAATTGTTCTTGGATTTTTCAGCTTAATATGAAATATCGAAAAATCTCAAAATTGAAACATCAAAAACTTGAAAAATTGTAAAGTGGGAAAATCGATAATTTAAAAAATCGAAAAACTGAAAAATCGATTAATCGAGAAATTGAGAAACCGAAAAATAGAAAATCGAAAATTTAAAAATAAAAAAATGTATATCGAAAAATTGAAAAATCATAAAACTGAAACATCAGAAAAACTGAAAAATTAGTATATCGAAAAATTGAAAAATAGAAGAAAAATTAAAGAAACGAAAAACTGAAAGATCCAGAAATAGAAAAGTTGAAAAATCGAGAAATGGGAAAATCAAACAATTGAAAAGAAGAAAAATCGGTTAATCGCAAAATTGATAAATCTAAACATCGAAAAATCTCGATGAATCCAGAAATCGAAAAATTTAAGAATTGAAATACATATTTAAAAAAGCCAAAACTGAAATATGGAAAAATTGAAAAAATTAAGAAATGAAAAACTGAAAAGCGAGGTGTTGCAGCCATTGAAGCATCGAAAAGTCGAAAAATCGAGAAACGGGAAAATAAAAGAAAAGTAAAAAAAAAAACAAATCGAAAAGACGAAAAATTGATTAATCGAAAATTTAGAAACGCCAGAAAGAAAAATCAAAAACATTGAAAATTGCAGAACAGAAATATCGGAAAATTGAGAAAAATCGAAAAATCTAAAAAGTGAAAATCGAGAAATTGGAAAATTAAATAATCGAAAAATTGAAAAATCAAATACCTGAAAGACCATAAAACTGAAATATCGAGAAACTGAGAAATTGGAAGTTGAGAAATCGAGAAATCGAAAATTCGAGAAATTGTTATGCAATTTTGATTTTTTGTCCCAAAAATTTGATGTTAGAATAAAAATTCAACACGGATTCACAAACCACAAGTTCAAGGCTATTTAACATTTAAATAACACTTATTCAACAAAATTGTATCACTTCCTGAGGGGAACGCTCGGGAAGTAAAAATCCGGAGTTTGTATATTTTACAAAATAGGAATTTTGGTCCTGGGGCACTTCTGTACACTCGATTTTTGTTATATAGATGTTATAAAAGTTTAGATTTAAAAAAATAAATGTATTTTATTTATTTATCTTAGAGCATAAAACCAACTGATAGTCGCTAACCAAAATCTGTCAATTCACACCCGCCAAAATTTTGTGACGTCACTTCAAAAATGTGTTAAATAAATCCTTCATAAAGTGTGTAAAATAACACGTCTGTGCGTGTGCTTTATTAACGTACTCCCATTTTTCATTTTAACAAATAACATTAGTAAAATAAAGCTGCGAGGGAAGTTCTATCTAAATAACTTTAAACCAATTTTTTGTCCTA